TTTTAACTCTATCAAATGCGTAGTGCTCGTGGGTTTGATACTCTATTCTCTATTTTATTACTTGATTGTGATATCGTGCATTTGCAAGATTTCAAAAAGGTCAAGTTTTTGGCACCGTTGCTAGGGACTATTTACGTTTAGTCTTACTTTATTTTATTTTTGACTGTTTAATTAGCTTTTTTTCTTTTATTCACAGATAAAAGATATTTGTTGTATGCTCTATACCCAAATGAATGATCTTGAATCATTTGATTCAAAAATAGAACGTACCTTGAGACGAAGATTCAACGAACACGAACAAAAAATAGAAACATTAGATAGCTAGAGATCAAAATATTTATATTCTTATACAGCCATTTAGACAAGTAGCCAAGAGAGTAGCAGTACCACAAAATCCGTAAAATGAAGGAGACTTGCTAATCTCAATGTTCTCAACGCCTGCAGCAGCGCCTGCGTACTCCAATATTGTACATCTAGATTTTGAGGTAAATAATTTTTAGATAAGGGCAGATTGGATCAATTTAACTAGAAACACTCTCCAATTCTATGGGTTACCTTATGGAAACCCGAATATACATATCTCTAGATTTCTCGGAAATTTCCAAAATTTTCATGCTCCAAAAGTTAATGAAGACGCTATCAAGCTGCATTTATTTCTTTACACATTGAATGATGCAGCTTTGAAATGGTTGGATGCTGAACCTCATGGCAGCATTACTACAAGGGAGGAACTGACTAGAACATTCTGCACAAATTCTTCCCACCGACAAAAGTGGTAAAAATTCGATTGGAAATTCAAACATTTCAATAAAGAGATGGGAAGAGTTATCATGAGGCAAGAAACATTCAAAGTGCTAATGAGAAATTGTTCAAATCATGGAATCCCCATGGGTAATCAAGAGCAATACTTCTACACTGGACTTTCACCACTGTCAAAGTCTCAGGTGGATTCATCTGCTGGTGGATCAATCATCGGTAAATCAGTTCAACAATACCTAGATTTTTTTGAGTCAATGGCCACTACACATTTAATGTTCTCGTAAAACAAGTGTTACCATAGAAGGCAATTGGAATTTATGAACTAGACAGTATGGCATCCACTGATGTATAGATTATCGAGTAGACAAATTAGGTGGAGTTACTTGTAAAATCACAAACACATGGAGCACATGCAGTGATGGCCTATCCAATACGTGAAAATTGTGGCGCTAATCATCCTACAGATAATTGCTTGTTCATGGGTTTTCCTAATGAACAAGTAAATTTCATTCAAAATAGTTCCCGTAATTTAAACCCATATGGACAAACATATAACCTAAGATGGAGACACCAACCGAACTTCAAATAGACTGATAATCAGTAGGGAAATAGTTCAAAAACATCCTAATAAGAGAAAACCAAGTTAGGGGAAATGTTTTATCGGTACATGCAAAAGACAAACAAAGTATCCCGGCAAATTGATATAAACTTTCAGAATAAGCAAACATGTATTAAGAAGTTGGAGATACAAATTGGTCATATAGCTCAACAGTTTGAAGAACGCCCACATGGGACATTACTAGGCAATACAATGATCAATACGACAGAGCAAGTGCAAGCTATTACAATCAGAAGGCTCGCTCTATATCTCCTAGTAAGGAGGTTTATAGGTTAGCAACTCCTTCAAAGGCCCTTTTCCCTATTGGAGAGATGGGTTTTGGTCTTGCTTCGTTAAGGTAGTTAGCGTGAGTAATGTAAAGGTTTGCAAAACTGTTTAGGTTGCCCATGGTCATTTTGGCTTCGTAATATTTGGCACTCGAGTGTGATGTGGCTCTCAAGTGGCATCTACATGGGATAAGGTAGAAAAAGGTAACAAACTAAGCTTTCTCACAATAGGCTTACAGTCGATTACGTGAATATTTATTGTCTCTTGATTCAGATTATTTCTAGATCTACATAACAATATAAATTAAAAGATCCTTATCAACTACAAAAGAAGCTTCAAGAGGTGATACTCAGCAAATTGAAACAATGATCATTGGTTTGTAATGGATATTCAAATAGAATATCCTCGAGTGTGGAGGAAATGGCGATTGCTTTTGCAAGTTTTCCAGGTTGTTTCTATATTTGTTGCTTAATACTTTTGTACATCTGAATCACTAATATGGGAAGGTTATGTAAGTGGCGACTTGCAAGTGCTGGATGTAAGTGGTAATTTACTTGAAGGACGGTAGTTCATGTTCACGAAAATATGTTCGCTTTGTAAATCACACTAAGTGTACGGTTCGTTAACAAGTAATAAAGTGAAAATTGTAAAATTTCAAGTATCGTCCCACGAGGATTGATTTGATTTGATTTCAATTATCATAACCTTAATCGAATCAATTAAGCTCAAGATGGTTGGTTATTTGTGATTGTAATATGAAATTGTAAATAAAATGCAAATTATACTAGCATTGAGATGTA